ACCAGATTTTCTGTAAAGTAGTGGGTCTAGAACGGGGTCCACTAAGCCTCGTGAGGATAATTGAGGAGCTATTTCAAGGAAATAGCGGCTCCGGTCTACAAAACCGAAATTAACGGCCTGGGGATTCGTTGCATTGACCACGTGACACCCTCTATCCGCTAAATTTGGCACTAACTTTGTCGACAAGCGGCGGTCGCTCGGTCGGTATAGTTCGCTTGCGGAATACAGGCCACAGAGTTTTTTTTTAGGGAGATGAAGGAAGGTCTGTGGAGATTCTCAAGAACACGTTGAGTGGCGAACCTTGGTATCAGATATGTTAAAGTTTCGCGTACTGCATCAGAGTATAGAGTGTTCATTGTGTTGTATGCATATGAGCTCTATTCAGAACACATTTCTGTGTAGACGATCCGGCGACATTGAGAGTACACTGTCTTCTTGAAGTGTTGGAATATTTTATGGCTCTGAAAGCAGTACTGAACAGAGTATGAACTCTCAGAATGCTTGGTCGTCACATGCACTGGGCAGGATTAATCTTGCGGGCAATTCACTACACGACTGTTTGCCTCGTGCAAAATTCGTTCAAGAATTAAGAGGCCCACTTGTTTATCTCTAGATAAAATATCACACGTCACTGTCTCTCGCCTTCGATGGGCTTGAGGGTTCATTCAGTATCTCATGATGACTATTCCTATATTCTTATCAATTCATTGGTCTTATCCTTCCACCACAAAATCTGACCTAGTGACAGGTCGTTAAATAAATAAATAAGTCGAGATAAATTTTCGGACCACATCCGTTTAGTAAGGGGAGGGGCATCTATTACTGCCTGGGAAGACATTTCAATAAATTGTAGTATTTACTTGATATGTGGCCTTTTGTCTTCGAGATCTAAAGCCTGAAACGAATCAGTTAAGCTAATATGAAGTGAAATGTTATTACTATGAAAAAGCAAAAAGTAAAAATGTTTTATAATACATGAATCATGACAGTAGATATGGGCTTTAATGGACTGTAAATATTCCAGTATTGAACTTCTGTGTGTAGAAATATGCAGTAGGAAATCTCAAGCGGTGCGTGGAAGGACGAACAGACCGCAATGGGAGAAATATTAATCACGTTCGAACTAAAAACTGTGATTTATTTTGTAACTTAGGTCTCAGGTAGCCAATGATCTGGCCGCGCCATATCTCAAGCGGTTAGTCGCTGGCTTCCCACCGCGGCGGCCAGGGTTCGATCCCGGGTCTGTTCAAGTGGGGTTCATGGTGGACAAAGTGGCGCTGGGGCGGGTTTTCTCCGAGTACTTCGGTTTCCATTGCCAATCTTCATTCCAGCAATTGCTCCACAATCACCCTCACCTATCATCTGGACCTGGTACAATAGGACAGAAGTGGCCGCAGTACAAGGGACTTAGTCCCACCCCACTAAGCAATAAAAAAAATAGCCAATGATCTGGTATAAAAGGCATACATTGCATGAAATGTTAGAAAATATATACAGTATAGTTTTATGGCCGGTCACGGTAGCCGAGCTCTCCAAGCCATATATTGTCTTCGCTCACTTGGAAGCCGTGATTGTGGGTTCAAATCCCACTCAGGGCATGGTTGTTTGATGTGTGTATGTGAGTTTATTCAGTGTTTGTGTTGTCCTGTGTTTAGGTAGCGGCCTTGCGATGGGCCAATCACTCGTCCAAGGAGTCCTACAGTCTGTGAAATGATTGAAAGAATAAAAGAAATCCTCGACACACGCATAACGACGTAAGAGGAACGGATAAAGGAATAGTTTTATGACGTCGTTTCTGAATCAACAGGAGCGGGAAAACTTTCTAGTTTTAGGGCAACATAGAGGGCTGCCGTCACTTTAGGCAATCTGCGATGTACAAATTAATTTGAATTTATAAGACACGTAACATCAACTAATCTTAATATTTTGTGACATATAGCCCCTTTGCTAGGCCATGATCACGAAACAGACATTGAGACAACGGCAATAGCTACGTAAATACAAATCAATACTTGAGCCGTTGCCAGACAGCGGCCCGCGTGTAACAATGAAAGTAAAGTTGGAAGCGATGTTTTTTAATGGTCCTCTTCGAGACTGCATCACTCCACCTACCACGTTGAAGAACTGAATGGCGGTCTACCGCGAGTCGCAAAGTAGCTCTGACTGTCTTTCAGGTAGATTAGTTAGTTCAGTGCAGTGCAGTGCATTTGAGTGAAGCTAGTCGTTAGTGAGTGAGTTAGAGGACTGCTGCCGTTCAGTCCTTGTGAGCTGTTGCGGTTAGAAGCTGGTAACTGAGGCACGGGGATAGTTCGGGACCCAGAGGAAGGGCAAAGCCCGCCGTTGTATGTCGTTACCAGAAGGCTGGTGAAGACTTAGCAGACTAAGAAGTCTACGTGTCGTAGTTAAGTGCGGAGTGTGTGAAATAGCGGTAGCACTATAGTTACTTGCGGTTACGATCTCTAAGTGTTCAATAAATTCAATTACCAATCCAAACCCCGTCCATAATTATTCTATCACGTAATAATATGTACATGAATTTAAGTAGGAAGAAGTTGAGGGAGAGTTCAGAACATTTTGTCTTCTCGTCTGCTGTCTAAAAACATAAAAAATTGAATATAAAAAACCACAATTTTGCACACGGTTCTGTATGGGTGTGAAAATTGATATCTGACATTAAGGGAGGAACACAAACTGAGGGTGTTTGAGGACAGGGGGGTGGAGGAGAATATTTGTACCGAAGAGGGTTGAGTGGCAGGAGGTTGGAAAAAACTGCATAATGAGGAGCTTCATAACTTGAACTCTTCTCCAAGTATAATTAGAATGATCAAGTCAAGGAGGATGAATTGGGCAGGGCATGTGGCACGAATGGGGAGAAGAGGAATACATATAGGATATTGGTGGGAAAACCAGAAGGAAAGAGACCACTGGGAAGACAAACATATAGGTGGGTTGACAATATTAAAATGGGTCTTAGAGCGATAGAGTGGGATGGTATGGATCGATCTGGTTCAGGATAGGGACAAGTGGATGGCTGTTGCGAACACGGTAATGAACCTTCGGGCTCCATAAAATGCCGAGAAGTTCTTGAGTAGCTGCAGATTTGGCGGCTCCTCCAGAAGGGCTCAGCTCCATGGAGTTAGTTATAACTGAGGGAAAGAGAGGTAGAAAGGGAAATTCAAGAACAAGATAAGAAATAAATTTAAAACTAGATAATGTGCAATGACATAATTTATAATAATACAAGAATTATCAGTACTGATTGTGTGTGTTATGTCACACTACCTACAAGTACATAGCGACCTACATAAGATTAAAAAAAAAGATATTCAAACTGTCTCGGCATTATTCACAGAGATTACGTTCATTTTCAGTTCTGTTGATTTCCGATGGAGTGAAAAGTGTTTAAAACAATGTCCCTCCACATGAGCTTAATGTGGTTAATCAGAGCAGAAAGAAACTGTAATTGGTGTAAACCACCCCGAGTTGCATTTATTTTCAATTGGATAAAATTCTTGAATAAATTCACACTTTCTGGAGAAATATACTTTGAATTATTTGCCACTAGGCCAAGTAGCGACCTGGAAAAAATGAAGTTTTCACGTTGCACTGCTACCCTGCACAATTTCATTTTACATGTAATAGACTTCATATTTCAAGGTCTTCTGAAAAGTCTCATAACACGCAATATTTTTCTTTTCGGTGGGGGTTTCATAAAAATACGCCCAAATCCGAAACCGGAGGATCGCCCCTTGTCATCTGCCCCCGAGTGCTTATACGCTTTTGCACGTTCTTCAGAAGTGAACTCTTTCTGCGAACGTAAACAAAATAAAGCTATCCCTGTAACAGACTATGGAGACCCATAGGTTTACGAGACGTCGAGGCTCCCATATTTTCTAGAAAATCAGTTCACAGATAGCGGTGAAGTTGTCAGACCTACCCTCCGGCCGCCCTTATCCCGAGGAGGTTTCCTGGTTCTCATTTCTGTTAGAGGCTTAACAGACTTTAAGTTTTCAATAACAAATTAGATTTGTGTTAATGAAATAATAATTATTATTATTATTTTAATATACTATTCATTTCTTAATTAAATATTTATGTTTCATTACTCAATTCTTAATAACACCTAGTTTAATGATAATGAAATTATTACTACTGTTATAATTATCATTTATTTGTTTGTTTGTTTGTTTATTTTCCTTCAATATTGTTTCTTCCAAGTACTTACTTTTAATTTGTATTTAACTTTAATAAGTTTGTCTATAGTGTAATTACTTTCATCTGCACTGCGCTCTGTCTGTAATTGGCCTTGCGGCTGTTGACTCGGCACATAAATAATAAAGAATTGAATAGAATTGAATTGAATTATTGCTTTGGTTTTTTTTTTTTACTTCTCTACATTAATGTGTTTTCCTTCCAGTGTTTGCCTGTAATGTGTCTTTAACTTTAAGTTGTGTTTGCCCATAATGTAATTACCTGAATCTGCACTGTGCTGTGTCTGTACTTGGCCTTGTGGCTGTTGACTCGGCACATAAATAATAAAAAATTGAACTGAGTTATGTGCGGGACACGTTTATAGGATGGTGAGGACAAGGGATAATCCGCAAAGTGCTGATGAATAAACCTCATAGAAGAAGTCCATTTGGAAGGCAGAATAAAGAGATGCGACAAAGAAAAACTGAGGTGGATCTCAGAGACGTAAGTTGAGAGGCTGGAGAAGGGGGAGAACTGGTTCAGTACAGCGTCCAATGGGGAAACTTGTATTAGCAAGCTGAAAGTTTGATTTTAGCCATCACAGCGTAATACGGATACATTATTATGTAAGCATGATCATGTATAAAGTTGGGTGACAAATTTTACAGCAGCTTTTGAACGTAAATCATCAGAGATGTAATAGTAAGTTCTATGCAGTGTATCGGAGAATATCCTAAAAAGAAAATAATTACAGTAAGGTTAGTAAATATAGCTCAGAATTGGATTTAAGTAATTGTGCAGTAGCTCACCCTCATCCTGGTTACTGCCGATGAGAATCTCTGTGTCCTCGTAATTTCCATCCCTGATTAAATCCAGCGGATGTTTGGGAAGGAAGACTCCGTCGATGGTCGGAGCAGAAGGGAAGCCTAGAATCCCCCAGTAGGAATTCCACTGCTGTACGGAAATAGTCTTAGAATCCACCAGTCTCAAACATGCCATAACCCTACTGGGTGAATCTGTTAGTTGGGTGGAATTGCAGCCGACGTCTTCCACTAGAACTCGTCCTATATCTGCAGCCTTCTCACCGTCCATGTAACTCCAAGGTGCATTCAGAGTTCCAGATTGCATGATTCCTCTTCTGACAAGGCCTCTGGTAACCGGTGATAACAAATGCAGACTCACTGAACCTCCCCCTGCAGACTCTCCGAACAGTGTTATCAAATCCGGGTCTCCCCCAAATGCCCCAGCATTGTCTCGTAGCCAACGGATAGCGAGCGCTTGGTCCCACAGTCCCATATTTCCAGGTGCTTCTTCACTTTCTGGCCCAAAGAAAGGGGTCAGATACAGGAATCCGAAAGAACCAACCCTGTACTGCATTGATGCAACTATTACATCGCTTGTAGCTGCCACAATATCGGCGTCATATACGTCAAGGGTAGAAGTTCCGCTCATGTAACCTCCACCGTAAATCCAGACAAGTATCGGGACTTTGGGACTCTGGTCTGAGTGCCGTATGCGGACCCGTTGTGGAACCCAGATGCTGAGATACAGACAATCTTCAGAGACGTTCGTGTTTGGGTTCCACATCTCCTCCCCTTCGAAGCCCGGAAAGTATTCGTACCTTTCCTGATAGCAGCTGTTGGGCAAAGTTGTAGCGTCCAAGACCCCATGCCAAGGATCAACAGGAACTGGACGTCGGAAGCGGAGTGGGCCCACGGGGGGCTTTGCGAATGGTATTCCGGTGAATATGTGAACTTCTTTATTCATAACGATCCTTGAGAATCCTCTGACCATCCCGCTCTGCGTCTCTATAACAAGGGGGTCGTTGTGATAATCTCGGTTGTTGATATTAATGGTGCCAACTGAGGAAGAACCCGTTCCTGAATTTGGGGATGATGCTGAGGAAGAACTATTAAGGTGAGGTTTGGAACCGGCACCTATTGCATTGACACACAATACAGAACTGAGAAGTAGCAAGACGCCAAAGGGGTTCTGGATCCCCATGTCGAAAGTTTTTAGAGCTTTTGAGAAATTGACTTTCCTCCTTTTCAAGTAAAGACAACTTTACATGTAATGCCTTAATTATATATTATCACTCTCGATTTGATATGTTCTGAGCAAGGGTCATCATGGTGGAATGAGGAATTACCACAAACGTTCAAATTGAAAGCTCCCTGCAATTATAGCGGAGTATAGGAAAAGTTTTTACGATATATCACACTCAGTTTGATATGTATTAAGTTGAGGAATTAATAGCATCCTGTGGTGGAATTTGTTGAGCTCTGCTTCACTGATTTGGAGTTTGTTTTACTTATGCCCGAAGTCCAGCTTCGTGCATGACCTCACTTGATCTGATAACACTTTATCTTCGTAGGCTTTGAACACTTGTTTTTATACCCTATCTATGTATGTGTTTAGAAAATAAATCTTGAAATTTTAAATGCATTCGTGGCAACTTCTGGTGGATGTAACTTGTACGCTGTAAATATTATTTGTACTTTCGTGAGGAGTGCATCACGGATGGAATGTGTCGGTCTCTTTTCTCCCTCTCGCGCGCGCACTTGTAATGAATGTCACTGCTACCACACCACCAACTTGGAAGAGAAGAAGAAGAACAATTGGAGGAATAAGTTATGTTGTTGACAACAGAAGAGTGGCCGAAGTCTCTATCACAATATTCAGAAACACTTCGGCGTGCGCCACTCTGTACCCCCTCTGAGACTGACTTGTTGCACGGGAGAGGGTTGACGCTGCCTCGAGATGCGCTGTCTTCCACAGTGCTCGTCACACTAATGTGTGCGCTGTTCCTCCCGCATGTCCATCCTCCGGGCGCAGGCGCTTACTGCACAGTAGTAGAGCCCCGTAGTACTACAGCCATGCCTAGCCTTCTGCGAACAGCAGCGGCACAAGTACGGCATCGCTCTGTTTATGTCACGCCACCTGTATGGGGAGATTTTAATGCATTTCACGAATTATTACTCTCCCCTTAAACTGATTAATACTTTTCTATTTTAATTTCTCTTTCTTTATTTCTCCGGCTTTTCCTTTTGTCTGTTTGTTCCTTTCTTTCTTTTCCGTTTACTTTTTCCTCTGTATCTTTTGCTTTTTCTATCTCTTTTTTGTTTCCTCCTTTTTTCTTTTTCTCACACTATTTCGTTGCTTCTGTCTTGCCTTCGATCTTCCTTTCCAAGTTTTCTTTCCTTTATTCCTCTCCTCTTTTCTTCTCTTTCTCTCTTCATTTCTTCCTCTTTCTCCTCTGCTTTTCCTAAGGCAATGCAGAGGATGATCGGAGGTAGGATTAGTGTGAATTGAAAATTCTTAAGCACTACAGTAGCTCTAGAGGCGGTTGACTAACTCTCAAGCGAAAAATCTTATTTGCGGGAAGTTTATTCCTGTCTGTCCTCTCAGATGCGTTATCTACACAGAAATAATTCAGTTCACTTAGAAAGTGCTGGTCAACAAGTCAGTAATAGGCTAGCACCGAGGAGACCTAAGGAAACAAAAGACACATATCTGAGATAGGCCCTGCCATAGCTCAGGCGGTAGTCGCTGGCTTCCTTCCGCGGCGGCCCGTGTTTGAGCCCAGGACAGGTCATGTGGGATTTGTGGTGGGCAAAGTGGCACTGGGGCAGGTTTTCTCTGAATACTCCGGCTTCCGCTGCCAGTTCTAATTCCACCGATTGCTCACCACTCATCTGTCACCCGGGGCTGGTACAATAGGCCAATTAGCAGCCGACGTACCAAGTGGACTCAGCCTCACTCTATCCCAAGAAACAAAACAAAAAACTCTCCTAGGTAAGGCGCCGGCATGAAAATGCTGTGTCCCTGAAGACTGCATTTTGACGCTACGTGATTCTGTATCTCATGTAAATTCGGACATAAATTCTTACGTGTGTGAGCTGATTTTGGAATACCCTATTTACTTTCATACAAGCGTCAGTCTGAACTGGAACATAAAATGTGTCTGGTTAAAGTGTTCTAAGACGGAATACGTTATAAGGAACGAACGTCTCACCAGCGATACATGAGTCGTGGTAAGGAAGGCCGGAACCCGGTGCCTCACTCAGATAGCTGTTACTCTGCCTGAGGTTTTAATAATTTTTCTTAATACTGCCAGATAAATAAACTAAACAAACTCCGTGGTTTGAGAAGAACTATACTGACGGAGTGATCGCCGCATGTCGGCGAAGTTAGTGCCAACTTTAGCGGATAGAGGGCATCGCGTAGTGAGCGCAACGAATCTCCACGGCCGTTAATTTCAGTTTTGTAGACCGGAGCCGCTATTTCCTTGAAATAGCTTCTCAATTATCCTCACGAAGCTGAGAGGACTCCGTTCCAGACCCACCACGTCTCAGAAAATCTGGTAGCGCTGGGAATCGAACCCGGGACCTCAGGATCTCTAGCCAGGAACTCTGACTACTAGACTACAGAGATACTGTGATTATTTTAAAATAACATATGTCTGTTTCCGTCTCTATTCTTTACAATTCCTTGTTCACAGTAATGTCCCAATCAGACGTTATATAATCTGCATATTTGAGAAATACATTATTACGTACACTAGGAAGAATGCACCTGTGTTGCAGGGAGATAAAACATGCGATGGGGACATTGGCAGTTGACTGTCGGACTGGAAGTGGACGTGTTGTTTGAACGCCTTGTACTGTGAAACAGAGCAGTCTCTCATTCGTCTTCTCCTTTTTCAACCTTTAGCTTTCATTTCTGTTGATCACAGTGGCCGCGCGGTCTAAGGCATGCACTGTCTTCGCTCTCTCGAACACTGGGATCGTGGGTTAGAATCCCACTCAACGCATGTATGTCTGTATGCCTTTATTCGTTGTTTGTGTTATCCTGAGTAGGTGGCGGCTTTGCAAAAGGATGATCATTCGTCCAAGGAGTCCTACAGACTGTGTACAGATTAAGAAACTAAAATATCGGGCAAGGTCTAACAAAGGGCTGTAGGACCATAGATAGATTTGAAAGTATTGTTCGAGGACCGCCTCTGTGGTCTAGTGGTACCGCATCTGTAAGCTTGGGGCCTGATATCTAACTTGATGCTTGGATGGTTACATAGTAAGGAAGCTGGTTTATGTACAGAAATATAGTATAATGGCGGATATTTTCTGAAAGGATGATTGATACACAATCGTTTATGGATGAACGTCAATTAAACATTTAACTAATAGCTAGTATTTCGACTTATATCATGTTCTCCATTTCCCCGTATAAGTTTCGTAATCTTGTGGCGATATATATTTTCTCTCCAACAATTCAAGGCGTGTGTTCTTACCTGTGGACCCCCTCCCACCGCATCTTTTTGCTATTATATGAAATATTCGTTGGCAGAAATTCGACACCACATTGCTGAAGAGACTATTGGGGTTGTCAAGGTGGTACCTCAGCTGTTGTGCTCTAGACATGCGGGAAGCAGACAGTAGACCTATGGGTCACTCGTCTGGGTGTCCCGAGACAGATGATTGGTTGGCTCGAAACTTTCCTTGGGGTATGTCGTCATGTTCAGCCCTATGATCCTGTAGACTGCGCCCACGACCATAGGAAGATAAGTGCCTTACGTAATTACCAAACCAAACTGCCGAAGCAACCATCCATCTGCTTGGCAGACAGCCAATCGCATGACGCATAGGTGAATCTCGTCCTGCCCATGTGGCAATCAATGGCGTGTAGAGTGCAGCTGAGTTGCCGGCCAAGGAATCCCTGGCGGTCTCAGGAGATCAGTGCTTCCAAGTTTCTGTAGTTTAACTACCAGTAGGGTCACCCATGCCGGAAAGGTCAAACGGTAGTGTCCAGACTAAGAGAAATATCCTGGTCCTCCAGGATGGGGGTTGGGCATGACGCTAACGACCTCATCCTGTAAAAAGAATTTTGTTTAGAAACATAACGACGTACCTCGGGTCGCAATGCGTGGGTCCATTCCTATGGCAGCATGTATTCGTTGTGGAGACTGGTTGTAATGGAGGCCAAGGCTCACCCAGGGCTGTAGCGCTGAGTGGTAGAATGATAGGTAGGTATAATAATCTTTCATTCTCGTATTAAGCATCAACATATTAGTTTCAATATTCTGAAATACAAGAAATGGGCGGAATCATTATCAGTCATATCCACCTACTCCTGTACTGCTCATCCCCCAGCAATTTTCCATCTCTAGCTCCAAGTGTAACCCCTCAGTTAATCTACTTTTATATATTATAACACAATTTAACTAAATACATACTGTAACCGTACGTCCCTCGCCAAAATTATTTAATTAAGGGTGTGAACAACTGATGCATTGTTTCTCACCATGAGAGACGCTCCATCGGCGAGATACCATCCCGGGACCGTCTACTTGTAATTCAGCTACTGTCCTCCTTAGGCTAAGGGTGCCACTATTGTCCCTAACGTCGCCTGTTTACTCCCAGTATCATAAACCCATGAACTGACCGTGTGCGAGACCGGCCAGGAGGGGTCTTGGGTTCCTTGAAGACCCACAGAAATTTATGGGCTTCTTTAAAATGTAGGTCAGATGCCGGGCTCGACCCTTGGATTTCTCTTTTTATTTTTCTTGTTTTTCTGATGCCAACTGGGGGACTTGTAACGAGAGGGCAGTCGGTTGTAGGGAGTGGAGGAGGACAGAAGTTGAAAGGTAGTTATAGAAGAAAGACGTGTTTAATAGTAGGGTAGCGAGTAGGGCGAACGGAGCGGTTAGCTTCAAGGACAATGCACAGATTAACAAGTGAATGAAATTTTAAATTAAATGTTCTGGAGATCCCGGATTCATTAACCCCGAAGTGTGTTCCACTCCCATCTCCGAAGCACCCGTATCTTAAGAAAAGAACCCAAGCTCGAGCAAGGCCGTGGCAGCTGTACGTCGGAGGGCGGCTACAGTACGCTATCACCAGTGGAACTACTTTCACAAGACAGATACTGTCAACACCTGCTGAAGCACCGATATCACTTACAATTGCTTCTGTTTGTAACTACGGGCATTTGCAACGACAGAACGTGAAGGATTTGCCTTCAAGATCGTGAAGATAAACTTAAGTTATTGCTTGTATATCATTAGAAAAGCTCAGTGAAAGCGAAAGTGATGTCCGAATGACTGACGCTCCTCCTTCATTTTCGGTAGGTCCTGGGATCAAATCTTGGCCTGTAGAGCGGCTTCCCTGTCTCAGGACACTTGTAGATTCCTGAGGTCCCTGCAGGCATATGTCCGGGATATCGTATCGAATTAGCCTATGGCCTCTTCGCACCTGTCCTGTATCAAGCATCTGACGGTGGAGGTCGTCTGCGTCAGGTTTCATTCGTCGTCGTATAGTCTAAGCAATTTTAAATATCCTTAAATAAACAGCAAACAAATAACTAAGGATAATTCAGTGGGTACGTATTAGGGAAGTATCAGTTTTAATCTCCGGCGGACTACAGCTATCATGAATGAGGTTCTTCTCCGGTCTTTCCAGATAAACATTGAGATAGTAACTGAAATTGGTCACAACCAGGCTAGCATGTACCATTAGGCTACACACAACCGCGGAATTTACGTGCAAAACGAGGCAGAAGTGACATAAAACTAATTTCAGGGATCTGTGGCTCTTGAACACTGACATGTGATTAAGAGAGCTTCTTGGGAAAATCTGGGAATATCTAAGCTCAGAGTTCCATGTCGAAGTGCATAGATCCAAATCCGTGCCCTTCGAGGTGGGGGTCCCGGCCCGAATCTAGTTAACCTCGGTACATAAAGCGTAATTGGGCGGAAGTAAGCAATTTTGGCTCAACTTTGGGGTGGACTGAGTATAC